AATTGGGATGATGACAGGGTATGAAAATTAAAAATCTAATTAGTCCGTAAGTTAGGTAATGAAAAAATATTAGACACGTATTTTTTTATTTTGTCGTATAATAAAACAATACTTAGATAAAACGAATCAAAGTTTAGGAGTGGGGGCTAAAACGTCATTTCTACGTATAAAATGTACATAGAAGTGACGTCACGCGACATTTCAAATCAATATATCGTCGAAAGTATTCGTTTCTGTAAGAAAATAAAAAATACGTGTGTAATGATTTAAAATAATCTACCAGACGGACATTAAAATAAAAATTAGGCATCTCCCCTATTACCTATAGTGTGGCCTACCATTTACAATATTATGGTTTTTAAGTATTTACTAATATTATATAGTATGCAATTGTATTAAAATAATTAAAATAAAATAAACATTATACATTATTTTGTTCATATACAACTCTCCGGTTGCAGCCAGTCTTATAACCAGGGCCTTTAGCCAAATACCACTTAGCGCTTGTCTACATGTAGAATACAAAACCAAATTATATGGGATTGACGTAAATTTTGACACTTGTCGGTGTCATCCCCATACATTTAGTTTTCTACTCTCTCTGTAGACAAGCATTAACGTGGCGTTTGGCTAAAGGCATGAATCGATAGATTTTGTTTTTTATGGAGACAATTGAATGTCTCCATCGCGTTGGTTGAGCTGAGAGGAAGTGACAAGCTCTTACTGACTAAACACCATTCTACTCCATTTTTTTATTGAAGCAATCGAGCAGACGGGTCTCCTCCTCCTCTTGAAACCAATCTCAATGTTGATGCAATTTCAATCGAATAAAACCTCAATAATTATTCAATGTCAAAACTATACAACCCCTATCGTAGCTGTTAAAATAGCATTCAGAGTACGGAATATAAAGTCGAACCTAATACCATTTAGTTCATTCAATATGCACGGAGTACGGATACCAATGTCGATTGATCGAAATTGGATTCAATTTGGATTCGAATTTGGAGTAAGCCCCCGTGATCTGTTTGTTTGTTTATCGGACTGACTGACCCATCTTTTTTTTAAATTTTGATTGATACAATTTGCACAGTTGCCAAAACAGTTGTCAAAATATAAAATCAAATGATAAATAGGATACTAAGACTGACCGTTGGTAGCATTTTATTACAAAATGAATAAATAATACAAAAATGACATTAAGTTTTCTCATAAGTAATAGAAAATTGGTTACAATGAAATCAATATGGCGTCGACTTAGAGATAGCCATATTTGTATTTGTAGTGAAGTAGGTACACAAATAACAGTGATGTAGCACAAATATACTTCGTTATTCAACTGTTATTACAAAGCGTTATCAGTTATAACTGTTATTGAAACGTTGTTAATTAGTTTTTAATATTATTAATATGTCTGCTTCGTGTATTGGGTACTTATGTTAGTGTTTCAGGTTCGATTCTCGGATCGGGTTAAATGTTAGATATTTTGATTTTCACAGTTTTTAATCTGGAATTCATAACATAATAGGCAAAACAGGGAATTAAAGGCGAAATGTTATATAATGTAACGTTACGTTGTACATTAATATTTACAAATTGTTAATTCCAGTAAAATGGCACTCAATTCACAAAGTCTTTTTACAATGTATTTGTAATTAAGATTAAAATGTCAAAGAAAGCCTCGTTGGCTATTCTTTCTTTGCTAAATATCTATATTCATGACTGACTGACTGACTGACGGACAATCTGTGTGGTGAGAGCTGAATAAAGTAACGCTTCACGACGCGTTTTTTGACGAATGCATGCATATTTCACAAACAATAGGCAGCCTATAAATGATCAATGCTTGCCTCTTGCTTAGAATCGATGAAAATAGTTCACGAAGCGGTGACGCTAAACTCGTCTATCGTTTTTGACGAATGCTCTATGAACAGCAAGCATAAGTCTCCACAACGAGTCATTTGACGAATGCATACAACCTTCAAATGACGATATGCAGATTTATATGAACAGTGAATGACGTACCGATTCTGTATTATTGACAGTTTTCATTGGTTTGCAAGATGCAAGCATTTGACATTTATAGGTAGCATGCATGTGTCAAATGACGCAACGTGGACTGTTATTTTCTCACCACCGTGACATTTCCCGCGGGTTTATAAGACCCGATATATAATATTTAGACTGGAGCCGTTAGTCAATAAGAAATATAAATATATAGCATAAGATAGAATAGTTTAAAACTACAAATAATCATATAAATATACAAACTACGGACTATTATTGTCTATTAGTTCATAAAATAGTCGCCAGCGTCTCAACCTATACTAATCTCCAGTTTCTTCATTAAATTTTCATCCTTACACTCATGTGCTAAAGATAAAAATCTAATGACTGATAAGGGCTAGCTTGACCTGCTGGCGTATATTGTATTATTTTGTTCAAAGTAAATTAATTATTTGATTGGCAAGATTCATCAAAACTTTTCTTTTTAAGACGGTTTATAAAACAGGATGTCAACCGAATGGTACAAAATCATAATCCTCTGGTTTTTTCAACAGAATAAAAGACTAAACTAAGTAAAAACGCGGGTTACTCACGTGAATATACTGAGAAATAAGCTCTACTAGTTTCGAACCATAGAGGGGTTCTTCCAGTAAGCTGCGCGACGTCGCCGCGATCGCGCGCGCTGCTCATAACGCGTTTTTACTTAATTTAGTATGTCTCACGATAGTCATTATAAAAACAGAATAAAAGACTTAAAAAAGAATATTATCTCAAATTTAATTCATTATTTTGGTAATGTGTATGAGTAGTGGATTGGTAATCTGAAGTGGGAGTAGGCCGGTCACATTTGTCGAAGAACCGATAACCACTGGGGTAAACGTGTTCTATAGTGGAGACCGCGTCTAGGCAAACGTAGTGTAGGGCGCCCTCCAGCTAGGTGGAGTGACGACATCCGCAAGGTGGCTGGCAGTAGTTGGATGAGAAGAGCTGAAGACCGAGCTCAGTGGCGTGCCATTAGAGAGGCCTACGTCCAGCAGTGGACAAATATGGACTGATGATGATGATATATGAGTAGTAATTTGTCAATAAGTATTCTATAGGACGCTATTGCATGTCATCATATTTTTGCGTCATATTGCGTCAAACAGCATCATCATCATCAACAGCCTATAAATCCCCACTGCTGAACAACGCCTCTTCTCACACTGAGAAGGTTTGAGCATTAATCACTACGCTTGCTCAAAGCGGGTTGGCGATTACAAACTTATAATTAGAAATTATAAGCCCAGGTTCCCTCACGATGTTTTTGTCAGTGGTGTCTAGATAATCTTAAAAAGTACGTAGAACTCGGAAAAAGTCACATTGGTACTTTCCGTTAGTGGGTTTCGAACACCTCCGGCCCACCACGACATTACAAAAGTATAATTTTTGACATTTTAATGAAAGCATTGAATTTGACAAGTCAGCTACCGTATTCTTTAGTCCATTCGCTCGCTATCTCCGTTCGCATTATTTGAGTGCGCCATTATCTATGACGCGGCAATCAGGTGTCTTGAATCGTGACGTCATTTGGGGCGTTGCCAGAGAGGAGGGACCTGTACTAACCACCAGGGGCGTGCACAGAGATTTGAAGTAGGGTAGGCAGAAGGTATCACATGATTAAAAAAAATTTGGTCTACATTAATCTCGGAAAATAAAACTCCCGAAACATCATAATTTTGGGTAGGTAATTAGGTTTAGTAAGTATTTTATTAATTTGTATCAACAAATTAGGTACATAATTATTTTCAAACTATCCGTGTATAAAGTTGATCAACATAGATACCTAGGTATCTATTTTACAAATCTATTAACTAGGTACCTACTTTGGAGCGGCGAAGTACAAATGGTTACACATCAAGCTATGCGACACCAGTATAAACTGACCGTTAAATGCATAGAAAAATCGTACAAAGCGAGATCAAGATGACTGGATTTTAAAAACATTAATGAAATTGGTACACAACCAGTGCTAACAAAACAAACTAAACCTATAATCGCAAATCGTAGTTTATTAAAAGAAATAATAAAATTATTACCTTTTTTGAGTTACGCCTAGCCCGGACATACGACACACGCAAAATCGCCTTTGGAAATATTTTCGTTTCTTCTTCGAACGACAATAAGGACAACGCACTCATATTTAATTTATTGAACAACACAAATCACCAGCACAGAGCTCACAGCTATAATTTTACATAATTTTCGGTAAATTAACAGTTCATTTAAATTATAATTCATTACATTACAATTTATTCACTTGCACATAAAAACATAACCAAAACAAAATGGCCAAAAAAAACGTAAACAATAAGTTGACCAAAATTAATATATCTATTTTCAATCAACAAACGCTACGTTTTGTTGACTTCTTAAATTAGTCGGATAACGAAGAAGCAGTGCTTTTGCAGTTGTATAGAAATTACCAACCTAACAAAAAAAAAATCCAACATCAGCACGAGAAAACAAGCAAATTGTACCGGCTACGCATTAGTACATGCTTCCGCCACCATCACACAATAGCGAGGTGGCGGCGCCACTGGCGCAATGCTTCAATATATCGAAGAAAGTAGAAAGTGGTTGTAGTACTTCAATATTTTTTCGATAGATGGCGTTAGTGACCAGTTTTTCAAATTAAGTATCAATAAATATACGAAATCTCTGTATGATGTCAGTAAATATTCATGTCGTGTTTATGAGTGACACTATGTATTTGACTATGTAGGTTTACCATGATTTTGTAGGGTATGCAGTGCTTATTTGCATGTATGGTGTGCACGCCACTGCTAACCACGCCTATTGACTGATATTTATTTAAAATTCTCTTGGCACACAAAGTTACTGAGATAAAAAAATTGAATATATTTTGGCACGGATTCTTTGAATTGAAATTGGAATAGTAAAAAAATCAATTTGGCTGATAAATTGGTGTCATTATGCGCTGTAACGAAAAAAAAATTATATTTTACGCGGGAAAATAAAAAACAATGGCCGCCGACCAATATAATGAATCGTAATAAATCTTGTCAATCTTTAATAATTCGAGAATTATATTTTAGAATATTACATTTTCTTACAATTACGTAGCTTAATGTTTATTTATTTAATGTAATATTTACATAATATTTACAATTGAATTTCGCTTATGAATATACTATACAATAACGTTTATCGATAACGGTTATTCAACCGTTACAACGTTATTACGTTATTCTATTACAAAAAAAAAACGAAAATTCTTATCACTTGTATTTTTGAGTAGTACGAAAGCAGTCTTAAGAAACAATAATAAAACATAAATTTTAATTTTTAATTGTTTACAAAATAAATACAATAAAAAATCTATCAAAGAAGTTTTATAGATGCAAATGGCCTTTTTGTTAATATTGGAGCAAAATATGAAGTCAAAGACCGCCAACATAATAGATTTCCAACCTAAATAAACTTTGAAATAAAGTTGAAAATAATTATTGATATTCTACTACTTCCTTGTCTTCATCAAAATAGTGAAACGAACACATAAATTACCACAGAATATAAATAAAATCACACATCCGATACATTTTAAGGATCCGGCAAACATTTTACGTCATCACCGGCTCTACCGTCACACAGTTCACATATCTGAACCAGTATCATATACAATTGTAACCCTAGACATATGCTATAACAGTCAATGCACAAACTCATTCACTCCCCCTCCATGGTGGTGGAACTGTTGCGTATTATCCACTATCACACTTGTATACCCCCCCTCTTGCACAGTCGGACTCGGAGCGATCTTCCCGAAAGATCCCCCAAAATTTTCCCCAACCGGCCTCCCATTCTGGTTCTGATTGTGGTAAAATGATATTAAATTTGTGTAGTTGTACTGATTTGGTATCTCTGAACCCTCTATTGAGCTGCACGATGAGGAACTGGCGGAAAATGGCCGTTGGTTTTGTGGAAAACTCACGTAGTTTGGTAATATTTCTCCCGTATCTGTGTAATTTTCGTAGAATATTTCCTGGTATGTACCGTTTTGCTGTTGGTATTCTTCTTGTGTCTCGTAGGGGGGTATTACTGGGATGTATTCTGGGTAATTGTACCCCCCACTTGAGTCGCTGTACTCGCTCTCAGCGACGGGAACTGGAATTTTTTCTGGATGTCTCACGTGTGGCATTTGTGGTGATGTGGTAGTTGTGGGGACGTGGGACGGCGTGGGACACTCCACTGGGGCGTGCTTTGGTGTACCTTGGCTGATGTTTAGTATTAGATGCTTCTCTTCTATGTCACTGTAAAGGAGAACTCACTTTTAGACTTTCAGGGATTTGTCAAAAGCCTTTGTATTTTAGAAGTAAAAACTTAACTTGAAACTGTCATTTATGCTTTGATTGCTTGGAAAAATAGGAAAAATACGCATTCCAAGATAGGGTACTTGTCTTAATCAAAAATAAATTATTTTGACTGTTTAATACAATAAAAAATAATCACACTTTCATTAATTGATTGTTTGACTAACTTAATTTTAGCATTTTCCCAGCAAATTTTTAAGAAATAAGTATATTATTTGACGCTAAAAAAACGTGACGTCACAATACACAATCTCGTACAAAAGTCATAGAAAACTATCGTTTTTGACAGTTTGAAATAAGTATTGAATTTGACTAACTAGTTCACAAGTAGGTACCCCATTGCCCTTGAATTCTAAGACTTATTATTGTTTTAAAAATCAAACTTCATAAAGCACATACACATTTTGCCCAACTCTTGAAAATCCAAAATTGATATCCAAAATTCCCAAACACTGAAAGGCCGGCAACGCACTTATAACTGCTGGTGTTGCGTTATCCATGGGCGTCGCCGATTGCTTACCATCAAGGGATTCTTAAGTTAATTTTCTACCCTACTTCATAAAAAATGGGTTAAATACTATTGTGTTTTGTCAATGAACCCACCTAAGAACGTAGTTGACGGACACGATACAGTGCGGTCTTGAAGACCTGGAGTTGTGCACGATGGTCGCGTAGCTCTGCATCCACACCCAGCCTCCACTTTTTGTAAGAAAACGGTAGTACCTTGACGTCACTTGACCTTTTGTTAGCACTGTAAGAAAGGATATAGATCAGGTATTTATTTTGTACCTATTTCCAATTATAAGTTCGTACATGTTTTGTGTGTATTCTTACTATTATAAATGGGAAGTGAGTTTGTTTGTTTGTTCCGCTTTCACGCCGTAACTTCTAAAACGATTGCTTTGAATTTTTGCAGGCGTAAAGTTAGAAGTCCGGAATAAATAATAGGGTACTTTTTATCCCGGAAAATTTTGATATTCCCGAGGGAAAACAAAAGAATTTGTATAGATGGCGCTGTGTGTATTGGTATATGTCACATAGGCTACTATTATCCTTTTGTGACGCGAGCGAAGCCGCGGGTAAAAGCTAGTGTGCTATATATGGAACAATATAATATGTGGATTACCATGCGGTCATATTATGACCGCATGGTAATCAATGTAAATACACCACTGTACTCAGAGTCGCTCAATGATTACCCGGTCCGTGTCAAGTACCAATACGACTCTTTCCGTAGATATTATATATACATCCTAATATGATTTAGACACCATTGACAAACGGTGAAAACATCGTGAAAAACCCGGGATTATAATTTCTAATTCTAAGTTTGAAACGCGCATTAAGCAAGCGTGATGATTAATGCTCAAACTTTATCTGTTAGCAGTGGGTATTTATAGGCTGTTGATGAATCTGTAAGCTACTTATAAAGATGATGATGTATGACAAGACAATAGAAGCCATGCTGCGGCACGAATGGGCCGGCTCGACCGGAGTGATACCACGGCCGAGCAGAAGACCGATGTGAAACAACGCAAGCGCTGTGTTTCGTCGTGTGATTTAGATTACCGGAGGCCCAATTACCCTCCCCTTCCCCAATCTCCCCAATCCCTGAATCCCTAACGATCCTCAAACTCGTGATCCCAAAAGGCAACAAACGCACCTGTAACGCCTCTGGTGTTCCAGGTGTCCATGGGCGACGCCGATTGCTTACCATCCGGTGATCCGTCTGCTCGTTTAACGGCTTATGCTTATTTACAGGTTTATTCCATAAAAAAATACTTACGTGTACAGTGCGAATGCCTCATATGTAATACATCAGTTCCATGTATGTAATGATACAGCGTCTTCTCAATCAGGTCCTGAGGTTCATACCCTGTTAACGACGCCACCCTGTCAACAACAAAACAACTGTTAGTTTAAAAAAATCACAGAAGCTTGTTTTAAAAAAAAATATCTTAAAAAAAATTGGCTTTAAACTTTTTTTATGTTGCAACACCATTTTTTTTTTTTTTTTTGTGTCAGACTCTTACTGACTAAAAACCACCCCGTTCCTTCTCCTGCACGTCGAGCCGGAGCCCCGGTTACCCGTTAGGTTCTCCGCGACTCCGAATCGGCATCGGCCCTATTGGGCCCCATCTGTGGTGGTCTGATGGCTCTTTGAGGCGCGCGCGGAACGCGACGCGCCGTACGCTCGGGTCTGTTTCTGGTCGGACGGGGAGCCACCCATGCTCGCCGTCCGCAGGCCCGCGCTTACGGTGGCCGGAGATCGTCCCGCGATCCCCGACGCCCGGTGTGTCCTTCGCGATGGCTGGGTTGCGAGGAGGCAGCGCTTCGCTGCCTCACGCGTCCCGCCTCCTCCTTAGCTAGCATGACTGCTTCGCAAAAGGAGGAGACGGCATCCCAATCCCCCTCGCTCCGCATCATGGCCTGCACTAGGCCCGGACGCGAGAGGTCGCCATCGCCGATCTCTTCCCTGAGGTTTTGGCGGTGCTCAGCCCACGAAGGGCATTCTCCCACCGTGTGTTCCACCGTGTCCTCAGGGCGGTCCTCGCAGTGATGACACCAACACCATAAGTTATCAAAACGTTGTTACGGAAAATAACTATAACGGCTAGTGACATGGTAAGGAAAAACACATAAATTTATTTACTTTTTGAAAATATTAAAATGATAATCTCGCAGAAAACCGACGTGAAACAACGCTTGCATTGTGTTTTGTCTGTGTTTTGTCGTGTAAGTGAGGTTATCGGAGGCTCAATTAACCCTTCCAAATCTCCCCAATCCCTAAATCCTCCACAATCCTCAAATTCCCAATTCCCAAAATGCCGGTAACGCATTTATAACGCCTTGGTGTTTCAAGTGTCCATGCTTACCATCAGGTGATACGTCTGCTCGTTTACCGGCTTATGCCATAAAAATATTCTGATTTATAAATTTTTAGGTAAAATTTAGATATAAATAAATATAAATTACCTCATGCGTAATTACAAACTTTAATAATTTATGGACCAAATTTCATCAAAATCCGTCCAGTATTTTTGACGTTATTGTTGAAAAAACATAAATTCATAATACTACAGCATATTTTTTAACGATACTAAAAAAACGCCCCACTTATTCAGCGACACTCGATCAAACAAACATATTGTTTTTCAAGCGTAAAAACTGTTGACGCTTAAAAAAATATACAGCGTCACTTCCGCCAATTAATACCTTTTGCAAAAAACTAAAGGACATAGAGGGCGCTACCCCTGCTTTTGAGTGTTAAGGGTTAACTAATTATAAAGGGTGGAGGGTTCATTTTGAGTGGTTGTGTACTTGTGTCGCTAGAAAAGAGTGTTTTATAGATAAAAAATATTTTTTAGCGTGATTTCATCTCATTATTTAACTAAAAGTCGCGGGTTATTCACGTGAATATACTGAGAAAACTTCTACTAGTTTCATGCATTAGCCCAATTACATGGACACACATCACATTCACAGCCTATAAGTGGCCACTGCTGACCAAAGGCCTCCTCTCACACGGAGAAGGTTTGAACGTTAATCACCACGCTTGCTCAATGTGGGTTGGCAATTAAACACTTATAATTAGAAATTATAAGCCCAGGTTTCCTCACGATGTTTTCCTTCATCGTTTGTCAGTGGTGTCTAGATAATCTTAGAAAGTACATATAGGAAAACGTCACATTGGTACTTGCCGTTGTTAGATTTCAAGCGTGCGCGGTTTTTAAACCTCCGTACCATCACGACAATACTATATTTGCTAACTAGTCAAATTCAATGCTTTTAACGAACTGTCAAAAACGACAGTTTTCTATGAATTTTGTACGAGATTGTGTATTGTGACGTCATGTTTTTCAGCGACAAACATCGCACTTATTTTTTTTTAAATGCTGGAAATATAGTAAAGTTAAGTTGGTCATGAAATCAATTAATGAAAGTGTGATTATGTTTGAATATTTTATTGTATTGAACAGTCGATATAATTTATTTTTAATTAAGGAAAGTACCCAATTTCGTTTTTCGCGTCATGTCATGGACAGTAGGCCTAAAAGTAGCTAAAGTACTATTTATTGACTTACTCATAGTTATGTTTTTGTAATGTAGTTAAACGTTTTCCATTCCGTTATCGACTAAAAGTCAATATCATTATCGCCTTTAAATTATTTATTAACATAACAAAGAGGCTTTTAGACTAGTAGACAACTGGTTTTATAACTGTTGTTAGATAACGTTGTTTGTTTAAATAACTAGTTTTAATTAACCGTTATTTTTTACTGCTTCGTTAGCCGAGTGGTCGCAAGTGTGACTGCCGGGTAAAAGGTGCCAGGTTCGATTCCCGGACCGGGCAAAGTATTACTGGTTTTTGTTTTTAATTTTCTCGACGACTTGTGCCCGGTGTATGGCAATATACCGGGCACATTCCCCTATTACATGGGACTCATAACATAAATAGTGAAAAGGGTTTTTAAGAATCCTTAGTAGTAGCACGGAGTCTGGAATTGTGCCCGGTATGTATATGGCAATAGGCTCACCCCCTATTACATGGGACTCATAACATAAATAGTGAATGTTACGTTGTACAATGGCATTAAGTGCCGTAGTATGCACCTCTGCCTACCCCTTCAGGGAAAAAAGGCGTTATGTTATGTTATGGTTTTTAGTTTTTTAGTAAAGGATCGTCCAGCAGTGGACTGTAACGAACTGATGACGAAGTTTTCATTACTGTATTTTTTTATATTAGATGGGCCGACGTTTGACCACTATCTCGCCTGGTGGTAAGCGATGATGCGGTCTACGATGTAGCACGTCGTCCCACAAACAACCTATTCACTCGGGCCTTGAAGACTCCCAGGTTATATCCTTCAGGAAATATAGATTCTGGCAAAGAATTCCACTTCTTAGCAGTACTCACAAGGAAGCTTGAAGCGATGCGCTTCGTGCGTATAGGTGGGACATCTACCATGGATCGGTGACGCTTCGCCGATTGTCTTGTGGTACGATGATGGAAAGGACTAGGGGGAATCAAGTTATGCAATTCCCCCGCACACTCATCGAAATGTATCCGGTAGAAAACAGAAATAAAAAAAAAATTGGTATAAAAAAAACATGCATACACATTAAAAAACACACTCAACATACAGGGTGTTTAAAAAAATACTTGCTTTATACAGGGGGTGTCAAAAAACAAAAGCTTTACTAAGTGGGGTATAAACGTCCCCAATTCAACCCTCGGGGGGTTAATTGTCAACAAAGTATCGGATATCCGTCGTTAAACTGTTATCAATTAAAGTTTAGAGGGGTAAGAAATACCCTTAGGTCGAGTAGTTGCAAGTGCTGCCGCTGAACTAGTGGTCTTCTTTTCGATAGCTTACTTCTTACTAATATTATAAATGCGACCGTGTTTGTGTATGTTTGTCAGTCAATCACGTCAAAATACGTACAGTATTGGAATATGTATCAGAGACATTGTAGAACATACTTTTTTTAAAAAAGTAACGAATGGAGTTTCTTGCTCGTTCTTTTCCATTCGAATCTACATTTTGGAATGAGCACCTAGCTTCACCTAGCTTCACTGACGGACTGACTGACAGACTATTATTTATTTTGTATTTGTTGACGTTTTAAAAGTACCAAACTATGGTTTAATTTAAATAAATGATTTGACTTTTTTTTGAAATGACTGAAGGATGGTCTGGACTGGAACGCATAGGCTACTTTTCATCTCTCGGCATTGCGCGCGAAGCTGTTGGTAGAAGCTAAATCAAAATGACTATGTATTCAATTCGCTTTAATTGGGTACTTTCCAACTAGTCAAATTCAATACTTTTTTCGAACTGTCAAAAACGACAGTTTTCTATGAATTTTGTACGAGATTGTGTATTGTGACGTCACGTTTTTTTAGCGTCGAATAGCATACTTATTTGTTAAAAATTTACTGGAGAAATACTAAAATCAAGTTGGTCATGAAATCAATTAAAGAAAGTGTGATTATTTTTTAATATTTTATTGTATTGACAAGTCGATATAATATATTTTTGAAAAAGGAAAATACATAGATACCCAATTTCGTTCGCATTACAAAAATAAAAAAAAAATGCAATCGCTATGGAAATGTTCTGAAATCGCAAACTTTGAAAATTCGCTGACATACGGAAGTGATCCCTCATCCGAGCACTTTAGCACGTATCGAATACAAAGTTACATTTGCACCTAAACTTAGACAAATGTACGCAAAAATGAACCTTAACCTAATCGTTATAGAAACTAATAAGTAATTTCGGCAAGTATAGAATGTTGTGTAAATTTTTTGCCAATTTATATTTTGCGGCGAAAGTGATTTAAAGGTACGCAAAAATAAACTTTAAGCCTTCGTCATAGGAACTAATAGACCATTTTGATAACTATAGACGCTGTGTTCAAAGTCCTTTACCAATTTATATTTGCGGTTTATTCGTCGAAGTTGTATGCAAAAATGAATCCTAAGTCATTGTTATAGGAACCAATAGAGGACTTCTACAAGTATAGAATGTTGTATTCAAAGTCCTATACCAATTTATATTTGCGGGTGCTTATATTTAAATGTATAGGAAAATGAAACTTAACACCATTGAAATAAAGACTACCATACACGTTTTGATTTATACAATGTATGTTTGTAATTCAGATATTAGAAATGTAAGCAAAATTACTTCTCTTCTGATGAGTTAGCCCGATTTGCATTTCAAGGTGTTGTCTGCGGGTTTGATTTCCGGGTCGTGTAGTTTATTACATTATGCAATTTTTGATATCAACAGTGGAATAAAATTGTTATATATAGAAATAGACTGCCTCATTGGCCGAGTGGTCACAACTGCGGCTGCAAGGGGTCTCGGGTTCGATTCCCGGGTCGGGCAAAGTATTACTGGGTTTTTCAAAAATTCATAGTAGTAGCTCGGAGGCTGGAATTGTGCCCGGTTTATGGCAATAGGCTCACCCCATATTACATGGGACTCATAACATAAATAGTGAAAAGTGGGTGTTACATTGTACAGTGACCTAATGTACACCTCTGCCTACCCCTTCGGGGATAAAAGGCGTGATGTTATGTTATGTTATATAGAAATTCTGTAATTTCACGATAATTAAAAAAAAATAGATCACAATAATCTCTATCAGCATAAAGTCGATCACTCATAAAAAATATAAACTAACGATATGTATACTCCATATGACTCACTTCACTACAAAGATAAACCAAAGACAATAAACATTGCCGCATCACTATAAAAGGTAACCATAGACAATAGTCGATAGATTTCGCTTATGTCATCATTGATCTGTCATTCTTTCCTTATATGTTATCTGTGGTGTTAGGTTTCAACATCTGTGGTCTGTGGCCCAGGTGTTGTTTTGATATTTTATACCTTGGTCGCTTTATTTTAAGATATTTTAGTACTTGGAAACTATTCTCGGTATAGCTCGGTATGATAAGCATAAAATCGCATATTTTTTCAAATGTCGTGGCGCATGGCTGTGTTTTAGCAGAACTGTGTATTGTTCTTAGTCAAAAATTAATTATTTAGATTTTTCAAAATGATACAAATAAATATAAAAAAATACAATTTTATTAACTGATTCCACAAAAGCATTTTCAAAATTTTGTATTACTTTTTTTTAAATAACTAAATAAAACGTTATTTAAAACAAAAATAGGTAGAAAATCAATAGAAAACTATCGTTTGTCGATTCGATAAAAGCATTGAATTTGACTAGTTGTCCAATACCGTATTATAACTTAAAAACTGCAACGTTCGCAACAAAATTATCGATATCGATAAATGTTAAGTACAGCTCTAACTGCTGGTCCCAGATGGGCATGGAAATAAGCCGGCAATAATTAATAGCTGAAAGTAAGCGAGCAAGCGATACAGTCAGTAATGCGCGCGTTTCTCGGAAACTGCTCGCCGCTGTATGAACGAACAATGCAGGGCTTGGCGCGTTTTCCAGTGACGCCGACATGAATCGGTACTGGGATTAGCAATCGACACGAGCTTTTGACGTTAGTTTTATTTAAAATTGTACAATATTTGGTGTTTTACGCCGGCGGGCTTTCTCAGTAATAATTTAGTTACTTGTTTTTGTATTTAACATATACTTTTTTAAGGGATTTTTTTAAGGGGGGTAAATCATCGAATAACTTCTCCTGCTTGGTTGACGCAGGAGTGAGTGTCAGACCCTTACTGACTAAAAACCACCCCGTTCCTTTTCCTGCACGATTACCGGGGCTCCGGCCCGAAGGGCAGGAGCTCCGGTTAAGTCCTCCGCGGTTGATTTAATATAGAGGTAATTATGCTTGGTAGTGCTAAAATGGATGGTGCCGACACCATGGACTTAAACCTCCATGGTCAGCCAATGCGTTAAGCTGAACCATTTTCCCTTTGTTGTATTTGAAGTACTGTTAGCATAAATAAAAACATTTCCTTTATTTCTTTCTTTTATTCTTTCTTTCATTTCGATAAATGAAAGTAGATTTGCTTAAAATTACTGATCGATGAATAAGTTTTAAAACTAGTCCTTAGTTAGATAATACAATGAATGATTCTATAAACGTTTTGTTGATAAACGACTAAACTTATGTCTTCTATAATCACTTGTCTTATGAAAATAAACTTAGAAATAATTGAAAAACAATAACCTATATTTTATAAAAATGAAGTAATTATTTATTAATTTATTTATATAAAACCTTACCTAAACTGTCATGACAGGTTTTGTGCATTGCGATAGCTACACATTGAAAAACTAAATCTATGGTACGTCCAAATATAATAAAATCATAAAGAAAAACAAAAACGAACAAATTCTCGGCCAAACTAATCTCAATAATCGAAAATACTAAAATTCAAATAAAAAAGAGATTTTACAAAACAGAAAAATAATAATTGCTTTTTTAAATTTTAAAAAATTCATTATAATTTGTTCGTCACGTAATGTGTCGATAGCTCTCGACAGGCCCTCGTGTCGTAAGCAGTGGAAGGCCACAATGGCCGCAAGTTCAACATTTATTAGTTCACGGCAATCAGTATCGCGTAAAGTTTTCTTAACAATGCGTTTGCGATTCGCAGAAACGAGTCATTGGCTCAGTAAAGATTTGACAGATCACTGTATATTTACATCTTTTAATAAAAAAAATACATAATCCCCGAAGGAAAAGGCAGACGTGTACATTACGGCACTTAATGCCACTGTACAATGTAACACTCACCATTCACTATTTATATTGTAAGCCCCATGTAATAAGGGGTGATCCTATTGCCATATACCGGGCACAATTCCAGACTCCGTGCTACTACTGAGATTAAACAAAATCCAGTAATACTTTGCCCGACCCGGGAATCGAACCCGATACCCCTTACCCGGCAGTCGCACTTGCGACCACTCGGCCAACGAGGCAGTCAACGATAAAATTCATAGTTAATTAATAATCGATTTCTGTCTAAATTATTTGGATTTGACTTTCATTATGACTGACTGGTTATTTACCCAGTCTTTTCGGTGCCTATTGATCGCAGCGTGATGTTTTATACCCTATAACTTGTTGTATAGCTTACTTTTAAGGAAATAAAAATTCTTTTTGACCATCACTTGTCGGCGTTTTTCGGGAGAGTTCTTTTTACTTCTTATTTATATAAAACGGAAGAGTTTGTTTTTTTGTTTGAACGCGCTAATCTCCGTAACTACAAGTCTGATTTGAATAATTCTTTTTGTGTTGGATAGCGCATTTATCGAGGATAGCTATAGGCTATAAAACATCACGGTACGACTAATAGGAGCCGAGCAAAGCGGATAAAACCGCGCGGAAGTAGCCAGTCGTATATATATATGTATATAGGTTTATCGATACGAAAATATCGATACAATACAGCGCTCCACGCGTTGTGGCCTGTGAAATCGTTAGGCGTCGCAGTGTTACGGTACTTCACTGATTTTATTAACTCGCATCAAATTGTTTATCGTAGCTCGAAATTGTTTTCTTATTTTAGAATTGTTATTTGTCGATATTGTTTTTATTATTGTGTTTCACTACACTAAAGGTTTTGCTCTTTAACTCGTCGAGTACCGGTTTTGTAGACACAATTATAGAACAATAGGTTGCGGTCACCGGTGACCGCTTGGTGTTTGACAGTTTAAAATAGTTAGAATGGAATCGTTGTTTTTGTGTCTAAAATAAGAAACCTCGATTACTGATGTTTTTACTATTGAAAAGTTTAATTTTATGGAGTAACTAGCTCTTGCCCGCGACTTTGTCCGCGTAGAATAATGAGTTCTGGTATAATTTATGCTTTTGAATTAGTCTTTATCAAGGGATATTCGCCGGTAACGAATGTCGTCAGAATTGATTCAGTACCTAGTATAGGGCTCCTCTCCCGTAGATGACTTGTTTAATATTCATGCAAAATTTGAAGTAAATCTATGCAATATTTTTTGAGATCATCCCGGACATACATTTGTCTGTATGTTTGTACAGACAAAAATTACAAAAACCATATATTTAGCTTCGTTATCAATAGTAAACCACGCCCCGCGTATTCTTTTAAAATAAAATTAAATGTGCAGTTTTGACTTGTCTACGCATTTAATATATGTATAGGATCTATACTATAGATAGATATGGATAGATTTTTTTTATGGGGGGAAAATCATCGAATGACTTCGTCCGTCTGGGTGAGTAGTGATGATGAGTGATGTATGTCCGGGATAATCTCAAAAAGTACCGTATGGATTTACTTCAAATTTTGCATGAATATTACTAACAAGTCGGGTCAACATACAGGCTACATATTTTCACGCTATCATCTACAGGGGAGAAGCCCTATGCCCTATACTAGGTACTTAATCAATTCTGACGACATTCGTTACCGTAGAATATCCCTTGATAAAGACTAATTCAAAAGCATAAATTCTGCCAGAAGTCATTATTCTACGCGGACGAAGTCGCGGATGACAAATATGTAGTTGGAATATAGGTATACTAGCGACCCGCCCTGGCTTCGCACGCGTGCAATATGCATGTATTATACATACAAACCTTCCTTAAGAATCACTCTATCTATTAAAAAAAACCGCATCAAAATCCGTTGCGTAGTTTTAAAGATCTAAGCATACATACGGACATACAGCGAAAGCGACTTTGTTTTATACTATGTATTGATATTGATGATTTGACTTTGACTTTGATGATGACCTCGAAGCAACTGTAGCAGCGGTAGATGTTAATTGCTAGTTACAAAGTTCAACATACCTTGCATCTAAGAATATAAGCCGCATGTCTAAAGAGGCTCTGAACATGAACATATTGGAGTGTAGTTTCAGTTCTGTGACGGCAGATGGCGGTAGTGAGTGTCCGACTGCGATGAGGCCGAGCGGTGCCCATCCTTCACCGAACCGCCGCGCTCGGAGGTACCCTGAACAGTGTATCACCTGGAATTGACGTGATCGGTTAGATTCAGTCACGGCATCGACAAACAGAATTAGTCAGGCCAAGTTCCCAGAGCTCCCAGACGTAACTTATTATTTTATTTAATTATTCATATACACAGTACAGAGGACAACACATATATAAAATTCAAGTACAAAGATGCTCATTATTCCTCTTTGAATTTCTTCCAGTAGACCTGAGAGAGGAAAAGCAATCAAAACATCAGACACAGTGTGTAGGTAACAGACGAGAAAAAATTACAATAACAAATAAATAAATATAGTATAAAATATATAAAAAAAAAACTACTTTATAAAAAAATATTTATGTATAAAAAAAATTAAAAGTACCCCCCTTAAAGGTTCTAAGCTCTGTCCACCCGACGGGTATGCATGAAAAGATTGATGAGTCATCAATCAAAAAGAGGTATGTAAGAATCGTAGTAATTGGCGTTCCCTAGTCTCTGCCTACCTCCATGGGAGACAGGCGTGAAGTTATGTATGTATGTATGTACAAAAAAAAACTAAAAACTACTAACTACATACTTATTTTCTGAAGATTAAATAGTTGGAAATATCGCAAAATCTGCAAATACTTTGTTCAGAATATTGAGTACAATTAATTGAACCGCTTTTTATATAGAGGTAGGCAACATTAAAAAAAACACTATATATAATGTTGCCCTGGACCCGATTTATTTTCTAAATAGATCAAACTATCAGTTGTGCAAACCCGCCAAAATAGGTTAAATAAACCGAAATTATTGTCGTCTAATTATTTTTTTTTTCATCTGGTATAGATAATAAAAGTCCTTGTTTCTATGCTGAGCACTTAGCCTTTTTGCACCGTGTACACTATATAATAATACTATTATTATTATTATTTAAGTATTCTTCTTATTTTAATTTTTTGTTACGGTGCTAATAAACTGTTTTTCTATCTTTTTTCTTTCTTTTTATGTTTATTAATACGTTAATACTGAAAATAAAGAATCACATAAAACCTTTAATTGATAATTATCATTGTCTTTTGCGGCTATTTTTAAATAATGATTATGTGAATTGAGTGAATGAGTCGTTAATTATTTTTAATCAATTTAGTTTAACTCACAATTACAATAGTTTTTACACAAAAACGATCAAGATTCCACCAAAAATTTTTCGCTTCATCTACATTCATTTTGAATCCAATTGAGCAAAACAGTTATCCCCAATTGTCCTCTAATCTTCCAAATCCCTTCAATTACTATGGAATCTAAGAAAACAACTTCCCCTGCGGCATAATACCCTATTATAAGCCCCTAGCGTATGTAAAAAGACAAAAGCGCCCTCTACCCCTAACGCGCAACGCGTGGCACTATTGTTTTAACGCTTTATAAAACTATTTGAATGTTGATTTAAAAGATTTTTTATTAATTTTCTAGTTCTCATAGGAGAGAAATGTTTTTATGGTTCTTAATTGGTTTTTTTTTGTCTGGGTGTGATGCGTGTGAGATTTATTTCATTTTTATATATGTAAAACGGTTTAAAGAAAGCGATTCTACAAATGGATTCAAACCTATGGAGTTTCTTGCTCGTTCTTCTCCATAGGAATCTACACCTTGATATGAGATCACTTTTGAATTTGTTGTTGACGTTCAAAAGTGCCTTTCTGGTCTAATTGAAAAAAATGATTTTGGCTTTTTTTACAGTTGTGAATAATATTGATAATATTGTATGGTCATCAAGATTAAGAGCGTACCAAATATCAGATCGATCTGTCGTCAGGAAGGGGGTGAAATTCCAAGCAAGCTAAATAAAACCGTTTGATAATAATAATACAGACCATTTTTTAAAAATAACGGTAATTTACTTACTTTGTACCCTGAAGTTGTGAGTCCAGCGTTTCGTTTTGCGAGAACACATTTCATTCGTATGAAGAATGCTCTTTCACACTCAATATCCACTGTCGGACCCCACGTGCCACCCACTGGGTACCTAAAAATACATACTGTAGTAGCTTATGCTTAAAAATTCGTATAAAACCTTCACTTAGTAGTAATTTTACGATATTCTTCCTTACTTTTAAGTATATGACTACAAGAACAATAGGGTAGATGAGTAATTTTTCTTTTCTTACGGAAACAAATACGTTCGACGGTATAGTGATTTGAAATGTCGCGTGACGTCGCTTTTGCCTACGTTTTATACTCAAAAAAAATGCTGAAAAGATACTAAAATTAAGTTAGTCATAAAATCAATTAATGAAAGTGTGATTACTTTTTAACATGTTATTGTATTGAACTGTCGAAATAATTTATTTTTGATTAAACTATCAAACACCAAGCGGTCACCGGTGACCGGTACCAATTGTTCTATAATTTGTATCTATAATGACGGTACTCGACGAGTTAAGGCAAGTACCCAATTAAGTACCAAGTTTCTTGATGATACAAGAATTAGAAGTATGTGTAATTCAGATCCTTATATTATGTTACATAGTTACAGGGAGCTAGACTTACCCAAGACTAGGATACTGATGTGGTTGGTATGAATGAGGGTGCTGCAGACTGAGTACTGCCGTCATCTCCTCGTGGTCTGATTGGTGTATGTACTCGTATATCGAATTCCCCGTCAACTCTACCTATGATAAAACAATATGTTACAATAAAGCTGTATAAATGTTCTATAAAGCTTTGGACTTGCATAACATAACACCACGCCTTTTATCCCCGAAGGGGTAGGCAGAGGTGTACATTATGCCACTGTATAATGTAACACCCACTGTTCACTATTTATGTTATGAGTCCCACGTAATAAAATACCCAGTAGTACTTTTGCCCGACCTGGGAATCGAACCCGAGACACCTTGCCCGGCAGTCGCACTTGCGACCACTCGGCCAATGAGGCAGTTTTATGTGTTTAAGGCAAGAAATGAGTGGATGGGTTAATTGATAGTAAGAAATCGGCGTCGCCCATGGACAGACAAAATATCAGAGGTCTGAACCTTGAACTACGATTTGCAACCCTCCTGCCTAGTACCTCATCTTAAGTGTGGGAGAGCCACGCATCGGCATGAATGGGCCGGCTCGACTGAAGTGATACCACGGCCTCACAGAAGACCGACATGAAACAACGTTATGTTGTGTTTCGTCGTGTGAGTGAGGTTACCGGAGGCCCAATTACCCCCCCCCCCCAATCCCTGAATCCTCCAACAATCCTTAAATTCCTAATCCAGAAGGCCGGTAACTCACTTGTAAGGCCTCTGTTGTTCCAGGTGCCCATGTCCATGTCCGGCCGGCGCCGATTGCTTACCATCAGGTGATCCGTCTGCTCGTTACCGGCTTATCCCATAAAAAAAAGTAGAGACCTGTAAAGGAAACCCATAGTCCAGTTGTAGTCTGTCAACGGCTACTCATGTTGAATCCAATTTTCCAAAACTTTAATAAATATTTTTGCAAAATTAAGACTGCGGTAATTTCGAATCCCTTGAGACTATGGAGTTTCTTACTCGTTCTACTCCGAAGGAATCTACTATTTTTTTTTATTTACGTTTAAACTGTCAAACACCAAGCGGTCACCGGTGACCGCAACCTATTGTTCTATAATTGTGTCTACAAAACCGGTACTCGACGAGTTAAATAAATGATTTTGGCTGACTTCAACTGACTTTGACTCGAGGAAATAGCTCCACTAGAGAACTGACCGACAGACTGACGAATTTAATTTTTTTTTGATTACGTTAAAAACTACCTTACATTTCTAATTGAAATAAATGACTTTGGCTGACTTTAACTGACGTTGACTCGAGCAAATAGCTTCACTAGAGAACTGACCGACAGGCTAACAATTTTTTTTTGTTGACGTTAAAATCTGCCTTACATTTCTAAGAAATAAATGAGTTTGGCTGACTTTGACTGACTTTAAGGCCTCTAATAACTCAACAATGTACAATAGCTTCTCAGGTGTTGTCGGTGGAAAATCGCTTACCATCAAACGATCCGTTTGCTCGTTTATATAGAAATAAGTTTAATTTAACTCACTTGACTCAAACCAAGATGAACCGAAGCTGTTTCACTAATATACATGATCTTGCCATCAGGGGAGACGACAAATATGAATCCATCCAGAGTCTGCAGAAGATGGGAGCCCAACTCCCGTATGGAAAGCTCCCGGGGCTGAGGAGGGGGAGGTGCTGCTCCCCACGCGTCTCCTAAACCTGGACAAATAAGACATCGGGGACGTTAAAACAAAGGTACTGGAAATCCATTGACTTCTCCCGCCCGGGTGAGGCGAGAGAGAGTGTCAGACTTTACTAACTAAACACCTCCTCGTTCGTAATTCTGCTACGCTGGACCGCGGTATGTCATTGCGCTTAACACGGCGCCTCTTAACATAGGTCGCCTAATTTGATACTTTATAATAATTTGTTTGTTTGTTACGTTTTCACGTCTGGTTACTCCAGGTATTACATACTAAGTTTTGGGTTGCTATACTGATATTTTTTCACTTTCGTCCAGTCTCTACTTTTGTTTGCCAGACTCTAACATATAAAATCTAGACTCACCATCAGGAAAAACCTGCCGCATTTTCAAGTAACTGGTCGTCAGCCGTATCACGGACGCCTTATCCAGTTGAGACGTGATCGCGGACGGCAGTGGGAGGAGCTTGGCAAGTTCTAGAAACTCTGCGTTTTCTTTCTCACGTCGTGAACGAGCAGCATTCTTGCTCTTTTCTTTCATTATGGCAACCGCGTCCAAGGGACGAGCGCTGTCCTTGTGACAAGCTGAAACAAACCTTACTATTAGGAGATATAGTACAATTTGGATGATGACAGGGTATGAAAATTAAAAATCTAATTAGTCCGTAAGTTAGGTAATTAAAAAATATTAGACACGTATAATAAAACAATACTTAGATAAAACAAATCAAAGTTTAGGAGTGGGGGCTAAAACGTCATTTCTACGTATAAAACGTACATAGAAGTGACGTCACGCGACATTTCAAATCAATATATCGTCGAAAGTATTCGTTTCTGTAAGAAAATAAAAATGTGTAATGATTTAAAATAATCTACCAGACGGATATTAAAATAAAAATTAGGCATCTACCCTCAGATTATTTTTGGTATTTATTTACTAGCTGTGGTGTGGTGTACTAGTGTGGTGGAGAATTTTGTCACCACTTTTATTCTTCTTGTGGGTGTCGTATACCCGACTAGGAGACTACAATTCTCATTAGTTTGTATGTAACTCGTACACAATCACCAGATATAAATCCCCAAAATTTGTTTATACAAAAGTTGTCTCTAAAAATTGGAAATAAGGTCTATAATGGAGTAAGTGGAGAGCAGTCACCGGTGACCGATTGGGGGCTGCGCAGAACAGAGACATATTTTTTTTAAACAATCTGCGTCGCCCCATCGTAACTCCAACGTTACAAGTGCGTTACCAGCCTTTTTTGATTATGAATTTGAGGATTCTTGGGGTTTCAGGGATTGGAGAAGTTGGGGGGGGGGGGGGGTAATTGGTCCACGTTAGCGTTGCTTCACGTCGGTTTGTCGGCGACCCATTCGTGCCGAAGCATGGCTCTCCTACACTTAAAACATACTTTTTTAAAAAGAGTAACGAATGGAGTTTCTTACTCGTTCTTCTCCATTCGAATCTACATTTTGTAATGAGCACCTAGCTTCACCTAGCTTCACTGACGGACTGACTGACAGACTATTATTTATTTTGTATTTGTTGACGTTTCAAAAGTACCAAATTTTGGTTTAATTGAAATAAATGCTTTGACTTTCTATTGAACACTACAAGATTTAAATCCTAATTCCCTATGAACAAAACCCGTATGTCTGATCTGATAGCCATTTTAAAACATAACTCCTTCTTGGCCTGACTGCCAAGTGGTCGCAAGTGCGACTGCTGGCCAAAGGGTCTCGGGTTCGATTCCCGAGTCGAGCAAAGTATGACTGGTTTTAAAAAAATCTCAATGCTAGCATGGAGTCTGGAATTGTGCCCGGTATATGGCAATAGGCTCACCCTTATTATATAAATAGTGAAAAGTGTGTGTTATATTGTACCATTAAGTGCCGTAATATGCACCTCAGCCTACCCCTTCGGGGATAAAAGACGTGACACTATGTTAGCTCCTTCTTCTTAAAAACTCGACACATAATATTCACAAAATATAAAAAAATAAAATCCCTGACCTACGCCACGTGAGCGAAAAGAGTATGACGTCATTATACATTCAAAAAATTAACATCGAGTTAACGATGTTACATGCATATTTATGAAGGCTCTAAGGCTCTCTACCTTTGCTACAGCTATGAAAAAAAAAAACAAAACCATAGACTATATTATAAGGCGTAGGCTGCAAAGCTACGATTGACAGCTGAATTTTTTTTTAACCAATTTAAAAAAATATATGTCATCGATTATCTCGTTATTGGCTGAATTGATTTTGACGCGGTTTTCAGATAAGTGGTGTTGACGCTTAAAGGCTTTATATAGAATCTTCAAAAAAGACGGAATTTTTATAAATCGTGGATAAACTGTCAAACACCAAGCGGTCACCGGTGATCGCAACCTATTGTTCTATAATTGTGTCTACAAAACCGGTACTAGACGAGTTAATTAAAATGATAATCTACTAGGTTCTGCCCGCGACTTCGTACACGTTACCGTTTTCTCCCGTTCCCGTAGGATTTTCAGGATTTTTTCTATCTTACAAACCTACTCCTAATAATAACAAATACAACAAAAAAAGAATTAGTGAAATCGGTCCAGCCATTCACGCGTGATGCCGTATTGCCAAAGGAAAAAGAAATTCATCTTTATATCACTACATAGTATAAAACAAAGTCGCTATCCGCCGTCTGTGTCGCGGAGAACCTAACGGGTAACCGAGGCTCCGGCTCGACGTGCAGGAGAAGGAACGGGGTGGTTTTTAGTCAGTAAGAGTCTGACACTCCCTCCCGCCTCACCCAGGCGGGAGCAGTCATTAGATGATTTTCCCCCCTTAAAAAAAAAAAAATCCGCCGTCTGTCTGTCCCTATGTATGCTTAGATCTTTAAAACTACGCAACGGATTTGATGCGGTTTTTTTTAATAGATAGAGTGATTCTTAAGGAAGGTTAATTTGTATAATACATGCATATTGCATCCGCGCGAAGCCGGGGCGGGTTAAAATATTAAACGAAAAATTTTGAAGCCAATTTTGATAATTGTGCATGTATCTTCATTTCATCACTATTTCTCGCTAACACTAACCGGGTTAGCATATTTCTTTAACAATTTTCTGTCAGCAGTTAAAAGCTTAGAATCATAAAACGAAGCGATTTTTAATAATTATATAATTACTAGCTACTTCCACGCGGTTTCACACGTTCTGCTCAGCTCCACATGGTCATAGCGTGATGTTTTATAGCCTATAGCCATCCTCGATAAATGCGCTATCCAACACAAAAAGAATTATTCAAATCAGACTTGTAGTTACGGAGATTAGCGCGTTTAAACAAACAAACAGACAAAAAAACAAACTCAGCCGGTTTATATAATAGTATAAGATGTATTTTCATTACATTTTCTAGTTAAAATCGTCCATGGAGAAAAATGTTCATGCGACCGTAACCTAGCCTTATGGCGGCGTGGCGGGAAAACCACATCGGAATGAATTATTCAAAGATACAGAGTGCGGAGTGCGGAGTGCGGACTGCGGAGTGCGGAGGAGTGCTAATACTTACAAATGATATCTGACGTCATGACAAATAGGAGATATTCTGTACCTAATACTTATCTTTACTTGTATTCTGTCTCCCTAAAATTGTGTGGTTGGAAATAAGTGATTTATTTGATTATATTGTTGTTTTTTTTTATAGAAATAGCAGCTGACGGTAAGCAATCACCGTCGCCCATGGACACCTGGAACACCAGAAGCCTTACAAGTGTGTTACCGGCCTTTTGGGGATTAAGCATTGAAGATTATTAGGGAATCAGGGGAGGGGTGGGGGGTAATTAAGCCTCCCGTAACCTCACTCACACGACGATACACAACACAAGCGTTGATTGACGTCGGTTTTCTACTCGGCCGTGGTATCACTCCGGTCGAGCCGGCCCATTCGTGCCGAAGCATGGCTCTCCCGCACTTTGGCATAGGAAGGAGAATATAATCTGTAGTTTATCACCAGTCCTTCTCTAAACGCGGTTGTCGTAAGAATCAAAAGGGATAAAGCTTCGCTTTCTTTCCCTATGTATGCTTAAGTCCTTAAAATTACCCAACAAATTATGATGTGTTCTTGTTTTGTACATAGATCATAACATAACATAACACCACGCCTTTTATCCCCGAAGGGGTAGGCAGAGGTGCACATTGTGCCACTATACAATGTAACACCCACTTTTCACTATTTATGTTATGAGTCCCATGTAATAGGGGGTGAGCCTATTGCCATATACCGGGCACATTTCCAGACTCCGTGCTACTACTGAGATTTTTTAAAAACCCAGTAATACTTTGCCTGACCCGGGAATCGAACCCGAGACCCCTTGCCCGGTAGTCGCACTTGCGACCACTCGGCCAACGAGGCAGTCATAGATCATGTTTTCATAATAACTATCGTGACACTAGAGGTACAATAACTAAAAATCGCGGGTTGATCACGTGAATATACTGAGAGAAGCTCTACTAGTTTCGAACCACAGAGGGGTTCTTCCTCATGAGCAGCGTGTGCGGTCGCGGCGACGTCGCGCAGCTCAAACTCAAACAGCAAAGATGATTTATTTACAGCGGTAGTATTTGCTTAGTATGTAGCAGCTTGTACTATTGACAAAGTTAAAACAAATTCCTGTGGCACATTCGCTATACACCGGGCCTTTTGCCTGCAGTCGCGTGGACCGAGTGCAAGCGAATATCGCCTAATGACGGTCGACCGCCAACTTTGTCAATTGTACTGGTAATAGCTGAGCCAGTAATGAGCTCTGAAACAGAGCCGTATTAAACTCAGTCGTTGAAAATAATTCGGTCTATGTTCAGTGTTATTATTGGTTGACGTTAGACTAACTTCAGGGCTGTCTAACACCTGGAGCCGCGGAGGACTTGAAGGGTTACCGGGGCTCCGGCTCGAAGTGCAGGAGTAGGAACGGGGTGGTTTTTAGTCAGTGAGAGTCTTACATACTCTCGCCTCACCCAGGCGGGAGAAGTCATTGGATGAACTCGGCACGATTGGGCCGGCTCGATCGGAGTGATACCACGGCCGAGTAGAAAACCGACGTGAAACAACGCTTGTGTTGTGTTTCGTCGTGTGAGTGAGGTTATCGGAGGCCCAATTACCCGGGTTCTCATACCTCCAATCTCCCCTATCCCTGATTCCCCAACAATCCTCAAAAGGCCGGTAACGCACTTGTAACACCTCTGGTGTTTCGGGTGTTCATGGCAACGCCGATTGCTTACCATCAGGTGATACGTCTGCTCGTTTACCCAATAGAAAACTATTGAAGGCTAATCCTCTACTATCGTGGTTGGTTGAGAAACAAGTTATTAATTTCCTAGCATGGAAACACATACATACACACACACACACACACACACACACACACACACACACACACTTTTGGTAGGTAGTATTATTATATCAGTATGAAGTTCGTAATAAATTATGGTCGGGAATCACACATAAGCCGCTGGCAGAATCTAGTGTACGTATCTATACTTTCTTAAGCTTTCAATTTGCTGCACGATTGCTGAAATGACTGCACGGTTGGTGCGGTGGCTGGGCAACTGGCTG